CCATAAATTACCAAAGGATTTATCAAACTTCAAAACCCAAACCAAGATCATTTGCTACTATATAAAACTATATTAATAAAATAGATTCCCTCTGCTGAAAAAGAAAGAAGACAAAATAGAGGTATCATAAACATAGTATTTTACATTTTTTTCTACTAGTTCTTCAGAGAACTTGCAACATTCACTATCACTTCAGGGAGTCTAGTCCAACCAAGAATGTAAATTCTACCACTGTACCCAAAACAAGGTTCTGTCATAATTTATTTTGAATATTCAGGATTTTAAGACTATTTTTATCTGAATGATCATAGTAAATAATTTCAATTTTTTTATGTCCTAGGTTGCAGGCTAAAATACATGCATTATCTTCTTATACCTAGATAACAATCCTATGAAAGATCATTATTATCTCTACTTATTGATGAGAAATTAAGGATCACAGTTTAAGTACCTCACATAGTATGTCACCCAAGATGAAGTGATTGAGTTAAGATCTGAACCTAGGTCTAATTCCAAAGTCTACGTTTTTCTACTTTTCCATACTGATTATCATTATACATTAAAAATGGGAAGAAGTCAGGAATGACGGCACACACCTGTAAACCCCAGTGACTCAGAAGGCTAAAGCAATAGGATGGTAAATTCAAGGCCAGCACTGGCAATATTAAAGAGGCCCCAAGCAACTAGAAAGACCCTGTCTCAAATTAGAAAAAAGGGCTGCTGATACAGTTCAGTGGTTAAGTACCCCTGGGTTCAATCCCCAGTACCAAAAATAAAATGAAAGAAAAGAAACAAGTGAATAAAAATGGGAAAGAAGAATGAAGTATAGAAATGATAATCAGGTCAAATTGCACATCACATCCATGTAAGAGCCACATCCTGAACCTGCACATATTTTTAAATAAAAAATAGGGCTAGGGATGTGGCGCAGTGGTAGAATGCCCGAGTTCAATCCCCAATACCAAAAAAAAAAAAGCAATTCTGTTCCTCAAGTATCTGATTATTTCACACCATTGTTGATAAATATTTAATGATTGCTTTACTAAATGCCACATTCTGTTCTAGTTGCTTGGAGATACAGCAATAAACAAAACACAGGTTGTCATCTGACAAAGGAAAATAGACAATAAACATGTAATAAGTGATTTCATATACTGAAAATAAGATGACATAATAGCAACTGAAGGTGAACAAGACCTTTCTGAGGAGGTAATATCTGAGGTTAGATCTAAATGAAGAGAAGGTAGGATCAGAAAAGAACTAAGAAGCAAGCAGAGCAGTTAAGTGTAGGGTCTTATGCTGTAGACCACAGTAAAAGAAGTTTAGAACGTAACTCTGCTGCAATGGGGTATCAAGGGAGGGTTTTAAAGCAGAGAAAAGATTTAAAAATAAGCATCTGCTTATACTACTGAAAGATAACTTTTTGAAATGAGATAATGAGGGCTAGGGATATAGTGAAGTGGTAGAGTGCTTGCCTAACATGCAAAAGTTAAACCCTTGGTTTAATCTCCAGTACCAAAAAAAAGAAAGAAAAAGAGACAATAAACACTACAGCCAAGCAAAATTTTAAAATGTCTGAAGAAAACTGGTTAATCGGTGTGTATCTTCAGAGAGCACACTTGCTTTCAGTAAATTATTTCCTTTATAATTTATTTTTCTTTTTGGTGAATAAAAGTCTCTTATGACACATTATTAAATGAATGATAAAATGAAAAGAACTCCGAAGACTGGGGATGTAGCTCAATAGTAGAGCACTTGAACAGCATGCTGGAGGCCCTAGGTTACATCTCCAGCACCACAAAAATTAAGTAAATAAAATAATATCTCTGGAAGCCAGGTGCGGTGGCGCATGCCTGTAATCCCAGTGGCTTGGGAGGCTGAGAGACAGGAGGATTGCGAATTCAAAGCCAGCCTCAGCAAAGGCACGGTAGGGAGGTGCTAAGCAATTTAGTGAGACCCTGTCTCTAAATAAAATACAAAATAGGGCTGAAGATGTGGTACCTGTCCCCCCCCACACACAAAAAAAATCTCTGGAATAGCATTTACTTAAATTACATAGAGATCTGAATTACTAAATCGTGGATGTCAGGAGAGAAAAAAAAAAAAAGCAAAAGTGGCATCAGGAAAATGGACAGAAAGATTAGAAATTTGAAATACTGGGCTGGGGATATGGCTCAAGTGGTAGCGCGCTCGCCTGGCATGTGTATGGCCCGGGTTCGATCCTCAGCACCACATACAATCAAAGATGTTGTGTCCGCCAATAACTAAAAAATAAATATTAAAATTCTCTCTCTCTCTTAAAAAAAAAAAAAAAGAAAGAAATTTGAAATACCTACTTCACAATTTTGTCTAAAGTAGACTTAGCAACCAAATTCAAACTAATGTAAGTCTAACTGTAAAGAAATATAAAATTAAGAGGCCAGGGACATGGCTCAGTGGCAGAGCACTTGCCTAGCTTGGTGAGGCACTGGGTTCGATTCCCAGCATCACATAAAAACAAATAAAGGTATTGTGTCCATCTACAACTAAAAAAAAGAAAGATTTTAAAAAAAGAAATACAAAATTAAATGAAAATGTGGTCCAATACACAAACTATTTTCATTGTACCCTTCACCACTCATTTGAATAGGTCTCTCAAAAGTCTTTATTTAAGGGTTGGGGATATAGCTCAGTTGGTACAGTGCTTGCCTCTTATGCATAAGGCCCCAGCACCAAAAAAAAAAAAAAAAGGCTTTATTTATAACCAAGTTGTAAGTACAAAATGACTATGAAATTACCCCTACCCATTTTAGAAAGTTAAATTCCATTCCTCTAGGAAAATCATACCAGGTTTTATAAAGTCAAAAGCTTTTATAGTTAAAGAACTACACAAACTATACAGAACAAACTTCAGCTGAATTATTTCCTTCTTAGAGCAATCATTTTTTCACTTTTAAGGTATCAACAGAGGAAATAAGCTCAGACATAGTACATGGTATCAACGATAGCACAGGCAGAAAAATTCTGGCTCCAGTGTATCACATTATTACTGACTGGGAAAAAACATCTGGTAATTGTCATTTATGATCCCACAAGGTAAGGACAGGGACCACCTTAATCTTGCAAAGGATGTAATCATAAGAATTAAAGCAGTAGAACCCAACAGCAGGAAATATAAAATGCTTGCATAATTTAGTAAAAACCTTGTAAGACAGAGTGGAGAACTGGTTCTCGTGCTCACATTAGCACTGTTTGCTCCCTGTGGTGTACCAAGTACATTAAACATTATTTTACAAAGTTAATGGTAGAGCCAGTTCCCAACTACAACATTTTACTGAGTAACCATTAGCAACCTGACATTTCTGAGCGTTAATGTTCTCTTTTTGTAAACCATAGTTGAAAAATCTAGTTCTCAGCTGAGCCCAGTGGCATGGTCCTATAATCACAGCTACTAGAGAGGCTGAGGCAGGAGGATGGCAAGCTCCAGGCCAGCCTGGACAACTTGGCAAGAACCTGGATTAAAATAAAAAATAAAGAGGGCTGGGAAAGAAGCTCAAAGATAGAGCACCCCTGTGTTCAATCTCATTACTCAAACAAACAAACAAACACCACTTCTCAGTACATTATAAAGTATATTATATGGAATAATGAAATGTCTGGCCCACACTAGACACATGATAAGTCTTTGATAATGATTGCTAGCATATTTGATATTCTAGGTTCTAATTTTACATTCCAGCAAGAAGGTATGATCTGCTATTAGCAAAGAGATTAACTAATCCTGCCTTTCTCTACTAACTAAATTTTTAGTATTATTATTCAAAAAACCATAAGAAATATTTCCAAATCCAAGTTCCAACACAAATGGTTTGAAGCTTTGGACCTACAATTTTGCAAGCTTTATCCAAGGTAAAGACAAATCAAAACACTGCAGGGGCAATGGCAGAAGTAGGATAAGAAGTAAGAATAACTGAATGACCAGTCTCACTGGTAACATGCTATAGAGAGAAAGCAAACTAAAATTCAAATAGATGTATGTGAAGTTTGGGTTAACCCTCTATTCTCAGCAGGAAGCAAGTGAGTTCTCCACATTTTCTCCTAAAGAATTTGAAATCTTTTGGAAAAGTCCATGCTGAATGGACCTCTTTTCTGTAGTACAGCACCAAAGTAGGGGGAAACACACACATACCAAGGCAAAACAGCAATAACTAAGGGGAAAAAAAAGTATCATATGCTTTAAAAAGCACGTTTCCCGTTTTGATTACCTATGAAAACAAATTCAATTCTGTAAAAAAAAAATCTATACTTCAGGTATCTAAAAAGTAGCCAAATATGCCTTCCACGATAAGGTCTTAATGATGACACTAACTATCCCAATTGTTTCTGGTCCGTATCAAGAAGTCTTTATTTTATTGCAGCAAACACAGGTAAAAGGAGAGCAGGTGGTCGGTCGCCCCAGACCCACGCAGAGCTCATGCTGTTTCCCGTAACACCTATCCAGGTAAGTCCTCCTTCAGTACACATCACAAGTTTTAGGGACACCCAGATAAGGCCATCCTCACTACATATCACAAGTTTCAGCTCAGCAGAAAACACGAAACGGTCTAGCACCGTCTGGCTAAGTGAGTGGACTTCCCCTGCTGAAACATCCCTGGTCTACACCAGGAGAACCGGAGACGACTCACAGCAAGGCCTACAGGAAATAAACGGACGCGACAATCTCGGTGGGGCTCAGGGGAACCCACAGCCCACTCGCAAGCTCCGTCTGAGCTGAAAGGGGAACATCTGTAAGGCTCTGGGCCCAACGGCCCAAGGTCACACCACGTCAGAGGCAAGAAAATATCCAAGAAACGGACCTCCTGCGGTTCGGGGCAGCCCGGCCCGGGCTGGGGAGGTCGGTCCCAGCTTCCCGGCGAACCAGCCCGAGCGAACCCCGCGGCTCCGCGGGGAAGCCCCGAGCGTTGCGGGCCGTACTTCCTTCCACCTCCCAGCCTCCCGTCCCGGGCGCCCCAACAACTCACATCTCCGGAGCCACTTCATCCAATGGTAGACGATAGTGCTGTGGTGTTTCTTGTTCTCTATACACCAAGACGACAAGCCTTGAATGGATTCCATGGTGTTGGTTACCGACTGGAATTTTCGATCCAACGAGGACTCCAGAGCCCCTGCCGAAGAGGCTGACGAGGAGGAGGCCTTACTGCTGCCTCCGCCGCCGCCGGCCGCCATCTTCCCGGTTTGCACAAGCGCTGCTGCTCCTCTGGCGGCGGCGGCGGCGGCGGCGGCGGGAGCGGGCAAAACAATCACTGCGAGTGCGTGGAAGCCGTAGACGGGGAGGGAGGCCAGAAGGTGGGGGAGCGCACGCGCTAGGCTCTCCTGGAGGGACGGAGGGGAGGGCTCGCTGCCCGGCACGCTGGCGGCTCCTACGCGCTGCAAGGTGGGGCTGCGGGCTCGAAGGTTTATCGATATTTGTTCAGGGGTCGTGTTTAAACCAGTCAGTAGTCAGGAGAGAAATACGACGAAAACAGAAGCCTTTCAAAACGCCTGGCGCCGAAACTAATGGTTTTTTACTCTTCGGCTCTCAACGCTAAGGCCCTTACTCACCCCTATCACCACACTCCTGTGAGCCAGGGCGGGCGTTAATATCTTAAATTTAATATTCCCCGACTGTCCCTTCAGTTGCAGAAATCTTTCTCTCTCCTTAGATTCTCTTGCACAGAAAAGGCCCAAGGCTACCTAGTCAGGATTTTTTTTTGCAACGCAATAGCAGCCAAGGGACAGCAACAGCATTGCGCACGCGCGGCCTGGCCCCGCCCCCCCCGCTTCCTCCTCAACCTTGAAAGCCAAGGGAGGCGTGATGGCGGGGCAATCTGACCAATCAAGGGAAGAGTTCGAGAAGCGCGCGCAGGAGTCCGCAAACCCTTAGGGCCAAGGAAGCGCTTCGATTATTTGTGCGCCTGCGCAGCAGATCTGCGCGCAGCGGACTGAAAGTAAAAACCCAGAGGGAAGGATGAAGGAGCTGATCAATCTAAGGAGAGGTTAGAGGGCGGGGCCCAACACTCCGCTCCGCCTTTCGCTTCCTCGCGGGATCGCTCTCTTGTCGTTGTTTCGCTCACACAACAGGGGCAGGAAATTCCCACTGCTCCGAGTTCACTGTTACTTCTTGGCGTCTCCAGCTGCTGCCATCGCTAACGGGGCACCGACGCGTGACAAAATGGCTGGCAGCCATCTTGCAGCGCCGCAGAAGATGCGCATGTGCCAGGTCCCACGAGCCATTCACTACGCAGACTCCTAGAACAGTCCATTACACGCTCCCCTGGACGATACCATTCCAGCCAGTCGGCTGCATAATCCAGTTGGATTGTAGGAAGAGGAAATAATTGAGGAAGTGAAACAAAAAATTTTCCCTGTTAAACATTTGGAGCGAGGAAAGAATGATTGGCAATATATGACTTCATTTTGGCCAGTTACGATCTCAATTGCTTACTTACTACATTACAATTTTACAAGAGCCTTAAATATCGGTTGATGAGCACAGCCAAACACCAACCATTCCATTATACTGGCTTATGTAGATCTTCTGGGCAGATTTGCAGGTTCATGTGTTCCCACTGTACAGTGCAATTTTAAGTATTTTATGGCTCCCCAATATGGTTCGTGAGGCAAGGAGTCTTGTCAAGTTCACGTCTAGCATTAATTCAACAAAAAGTTGTTGAATGTTGGAATGCTGTTTGAGATTTGTGGGAGTAACAGTAAAATAGACAAAAAACGTTTGGTGCTTAGTGGCAGGAGACCTTAAACAAGCATATTTCAGTGCATAGTGAGTTCTATAAAGAAATAGAAAGCAAAAAAAAAAAAAAAGAAAGAAAGAAATAGAAAGCAGAAGGTGTAGAGAGTATGTGACAGAGAAAGAAAGTGAATGTGAAGGGAAGTGGTATGGTGAACCAGCAAGGGTTCTGAAAGAAAATGATACCTGATGTGGACCCCGAGAAAAAGATGAGCAAGCAGATATAAGAGGGGACAGGATAGCAGAAGGAACACCAAGTGCAAAGACCCTAACACAGGAAATGTCTTAAGAACAAGGAAGCCAGTTTGGAAGAGAATAAGAGAAGGGGACATGTGGTACGAGATGAGTGAAGTCGGAGAGGGGAAAATTTCCTGGTAGGGCTTTGAAGGCCACTGTTAAGGACTTTACCAGAAGACAAAATTTCAACAAATTTGAAAACTAACTATGCACAATGCCACATGCCTGTAGGAGGGCTGTGGCAGAAAAATCACAAACTGGAGGCCTATCTCAGCAACTTAGCAAGGCCCTAAGCAATTTAGTGAGACCGTGTATAAAAAAAAATAAAGAAGGACTGGGGATGTAGCTCAGTGTGTACAGCACTGCTGGGTTCAATCCACAGTTAAAAAAAAAAAAAACACTAACTGGCTTTATGGTTAAAACCAGGCAATATTTCATTCCATAAAATATGAGTGTTCTAATGAGCTGAACGGAAAAGTCATTATTAATCAGAAAGGGCTGAGGAAAGCAGAAATAGAAGAAAAATCATTGTTCAATCCAAATCCTTGTAAAAGTTAAAGTAGGATGCTTTCTTTTTCATGCTAGCTATGAATGACCTATTTGGAAATTTGGCTATTATCCTGATTTCTTGAAAGGTTAAATAAACAACAGTTTCATTTGGTGACATGGATCTTTTTAGCATGAGTAACTTTAGTTTCGTTCCTCCTATAAATTTTATTTAACAATTCTGAAATAGGAAGCTCTTTAAGTGAGAGAAGTTTTAAGCAAAGAAGTTACATGGTGACTATCCTGTCATGTTTTGTTTGGGTTTTTTGGTTTTGTTTTGTGGTATGGGGGACTGAACACCAGTGCTATATTGTTTTGAGATAGGGTCTTACTAATAGCCCGGTGCTGTCCTCAACTTGTTATCCTCTGCCTCTGGAGTACTACAAATACAGGCATGTGCCACTATGTCAGGCTCTTGTGATGTTTTTGCTACTGGGATTAAACCCTCATGCTTTTTTTCTGTGCCCCCCCCCCCCCCCCCCCCCCCCCCCATTCCTAAACTGCTTAGCCTTCACTTAATTGTGGAGGCTGGCCTTGAACTTGGGATCCTCCTGCCTCAGTCTACCAAGTCACTAGAATTATAGGCATGCACCACCACATTGGGGGCTAGGGTTGTGGCTCAGAGGAAGTTCACTCACCTAGAATGTGTGAGGCACAGGATTTGATCCTCAGCACCACATAAAAATAAAATAAAGGTATTGTGTCCAATTACAACTAAAAATTATATATATATATTTTTAAAAGATCACACTGGGGGCTGGGGTTGTGGCTCAGTGGCAGAGTGCTTGCCTCACATGTGTGAGGCACTTGGTTCAATCGTCAGCACCACATTAAAAATAATAGGGCTGGGGTTGTGGCTCAATGGTAGAGCGCTTACCGAGCATGTGTGAGGCACTAGGTTTGATTCTCAGCACCACATATAAATAAATAAAGGCTCATCAACAACTAATAAAATATAATAATAATAATAAATGAACAAAATTAAGTTGTTTGGCTTTACAACTAAAAATATTTAAATAAGTAAATAAATAAATTAATTAAAAGATTGCATTGGTTGCTAGGTTGAAAACAGACTTTAGAGCTACTAATTGGGAAACTGTTTGAGTAATCCAAATAAGAATTGGGCCAGAGGGATAATGAAATAAGTAATGACAAGTGACATCAAAGTCTGAGGCTGGGCACAGTGGCACACTCCTATAATCCCCAGCAGCTAGGGAGGCTGAGATGGGGGAATCATGGGTTCAAAGCCAACTCAGTGTTGAGAGCCACAGCCAAGTCAGGATGGTGCCTAGCATTTTGCCAGAAGGAGTGGTTGAGAGGTGACACCAGGGAGCCATTAAGATGATAATTAAGTTAAGCTGTGTATAATTGCTATGACTGGATGATGCTGGATTAAAACAGGCTGTGTATTTGGTTGTATATAGACCCCTGCTGACCAGCAATAGGGCGGCTCCAGCAATAGGGCGCCTCTGGCAATAGGGCGGCTCCTGCTGCCTTGGGGTGCCAGATACTTTGAGTTCTCCTGGAGTTCCCATTGTCCTTGAGTTCTCAAGGAGCCCGGTGGAGGGTGAGAGAGTTCCCGGGGAGTGCGCGTGGAGTGCTGGTGGAGTTAGGGCAATAAAGGAGTTCCTGTTTGAACCTACAAGTGGCTCGTGACCTCCAGATTTGGTGCCCAGCCAGACTGTGGCTTTTGGTGGCCTACTGACACGGCTGTGGCTCTCAACAACTCAGTGAAACACTGTCTTTAAATAAAATACAGAATAGGGCTGAGGATGTGGCTCAGTAGTCGAATGCTCTTGAGTTCAATCCCTGGTATCAAAAAATAAATAAAAAATTCTGGATATATTTTGAAGTAGAGCTCAAAGGATTATTCACGGATTTATGTTGGGAATGAGAAAAACAAATGAATCAAAAGTAGTACCAATGGTTTGGTGTTTTTTTTTTTTGCTTATTTTGGAGATGTGGTCTTGATAGACCCAACCTGATCTTTTCTTAAAATTGGGAGCCATCCCGCCACAAAGCCATGAAAAGATAATTTCAGCTTTAAATTACTGCAAATTCTGAACCTGCTTGGAATGCCTGCCCATGCCTTGAACTCACCCATGCCTGGCTCTCTGACCAGATAGCAGCCCTCTCTGAAACTTTAGTGACACCTCATAAATATTGGCCTTCCCTGGCCAGACAACGACCCTCTCTGAGGCTCTAATGGTCTTCATAAATTCTGATGTTGGGGCCAGCAAAAAAAATGTAAACTACCATTAGTGTGATGCTTGTCAAAGTTCTGTTATCTGTAACCCCCCTTTGTGTAACTTTCTGGGCTATAAAGTTGGGCTGCAGGAAACCTGGGGTGGCTCTCTTGTTCCCGCTGTTTTGGGAGGGAGAGGCAGCCCGGCCGGTCGAAATAATAAGCTTGCTTTAATTTGATTTTAATTGGAGTCAGTGGTCTTTTCTTGCGTCCTGGTCTAACAGTCTTAGTATGTTTCCCAGGCTGATCTCAAACTCCTGGGGCTCAAGCAATCCTCTTGCCTCAGCCTCCTGCCCAAGGAGCTAGGACTACTTGTAAATGTTAGCACATTGGGCAAAGTCAAGGGTTTTTACCTGAGCAACTAGAACAGTAGTGTTTTGTTTTATGGTTGCCCCTAAAGATTTTTTCATAGATCTTTATTGCAAATCCTCCCAATACCCATGATATTTTAATATTAAAAAAGTACAACTTTATATATGTTCATACACAGTACATAATAACTATGCTTAACCTAAGAGTAAGCACTAATTTTTTAAAATATTTTTTTAATTGTAAGTGGACACAACACCTTTTTATTTTATTTATGTGGTGCTGAGGATAGAACCCAGGGCCTCACACATGTGAGATGTGTGCTCTACTGAAAAACCAGCCTCTATCTCAGAGCAAAGCCTGTCCAAGGAAGGGACATGGCCTTTGTCCTTGGAAAAACCCACAGAGCACCACTAGGCACATTCCCACCCTGCTAAGTTGTTTATCTACAAATAACAGGAGAGATCTGCTGTGCCAGGTGTCCCTGACTCAGTCAGGCTAGGTGGGGATCCATAGCAGCCCCCTAGCAGCCACCAATTAGCATGAGACAGGGAAATACCTGGGATGCCAGTTGACCCTCCCAGTATTTTATGGTGGTTGATAACAAGTTGGGAAACCATGTAGTTCAGCACA